GGAGATCTTTCCTTCTCGTTGCACAATATTCCATTTTGTGGGCGTCACAAGTCATTAATATACCTGCTTGGGCCCTGGGTTTTCTCTTTGTAGTTTTCAACACATTCTAGGATTAAGCCCTTCATCAGTTAGACATGCTTCCATTGGCTTCTCCCAAAATGTCACTTGTATCCCTTGGTCAGTAGGCATTCCTGATGGCATTTAATGTTTTACAGTTTTCATATATGGTTAGTGCTCTTTGTGTCTTGTTGGCAGAAAATTTCTCTATCCTGAGCATACAAACGCTTTTCATGGCTGAGGGTTAGGTATAGCTGGGTTAGAGTGCTTATCTTTGCACAGAATGAAAAACTTGACCCCCAACACCTCAAAGAACAACTTTGGGTCATATTATAAAGTGATTTGCTTTTCCTTTGCATATTTATGTTTTAATTCACAGAGAGATTTTATTTATGATCTAGGGATCAAAATTCATTTCTTCCAAAGTAGACACCCAATTGTTCCATTCATTAAAAGTTTCACTGTTCCCCTACTGGTCTAGAATCTTTTCTTGATCACTGATTCTATGTCTACATGTGAGTGTTATCTGAGACCACCTATTTACCTAGGCTTGAATGACATTGCATCACCTGGATTAATGTACCTTTATGTCTTATTCCATACACATTGAAGAATTAATTTGTCGCCAGACGGTGGTGGCACACGCCTTTAATCCCAGCACTCAGGAGGCAGAGGCAGGCGGATCTCTGTGAGTTGGAGGCCAGCCTGGTCTACAGAGTGAGTTCCAGAACAGATTCCAAAACTACACAGAGAAACCTTGTCTCGAAAAAAAAAAAAAACAATGCACCCACGAATGGGTTTACATTGAATTTACAAAAGAGTTTGGAGCAGTGGTTCTCAGCCTGTTGCTCAGCCCATTCACAGGGATCACATAGCAGCTATCCTGTATATGGTATATTTGCATTACAATTCATAACAGTAGCACAGTTACAGTTATGAAGTAACAACAAAATAACGTTCTGGCTGGGAGTCAGCACAACACAAGGAACTTAGTTAAGAGCCGGGCGATGGTGGCGCACGCCTTTAATCCCAGCACTCAGGAGGCAGAGGCAGGCGGATCTCTGTGAGTTCGAGACCAGCCTGGTCTACAGAGCTAGTTCCAGGACAGGCTCCAAAGCCACAGAGAAACCCTGTCTCGAAAAACCAAAAAAAAAAAAAGTTGCAGCATTTAGGAAGGTTGAGGACCACTGGTCAGAGGGCCACGACGGCGTTACCATCCTGATTCTTCCAATGAATATGTGAATCTATTTCAGTTTTTCAAATTCTTCAATTAGGTTTTGTAATTTTTCCAAAAAGATATTGCCCTCAGATGCTAAGTTCTAAGCTGTTTAGGAATTGTTTATTAAAATTTTCTGTGTTGTCTGACTATAAAACCCTATCTTTCTGGTCTTTGTGATGGGACTGGGGTTTGCACCTGTTAAGCATTCTACCACTGAACTACAGTCCCAGCCCAAGCCAAAAAGACTTTTAAATATAGATTTTGTATACAGAAATTTTTATCCATTAATCAATCATCCTAAACTCTTTGGCAGACTATTTTGGCTTTTCCACAGACATAATGGTATAACCTACAAATAATGATAATTCTCTTCCTTGTTTCCAACATTTAAATATTTTCTTCTTCATAAAATGTTAAACGTTTGTTTATGGGGGCCATGTCTCACAGCATGTGTGTGGAGATCTCTTATTATACCATGTGGACCTCAGGGATTGAACTCAGGTCATAAGGCTTGGTAGCAAGTACCTTTAACCACTGAGCCATCTCGCTGGCCCCTACATGTGTTTTGTTCATGCCTCATTGTGTTGGTCCTTGAGTACAATGTTGACTATAAATGACAGCAGCTCCAGTGTCAGATTCTATTCGACATTTCAGCCGAAGTATGCAGTCCATTGAAAATTTTTCTAGATAAGCTTTCTGCCAAGAAAATTCATTTGGCAGTTTTGCTAAGATTTGAAAAAAATCATAAATAAATGTTAAATTTTATCTAACTCTCTCTAAATATTGATACAATTGTAACTTTTCTTTTTTTATTTTGTGTATAGGTGTTTGCCTGAATGTGCACAATGTGTGTGCCTGGCGAAGGCCAAAAGAGGATTGGATCCCCTAGAACTAGTATTTACAGATGGTTGTGAGCCAGCAGATGTGTGATGGGGGTTGAACCCGGGTCCTCTGAAAGAGCACCACGTCCTCTTAGCTGCTGAGCCATCTCTCCAGTTCCTGTGGTTTTCCTCCTTTAATATGTGTTATTTCAAATATTAAAATACATGATATATTAGAAATAAATCCAACTTGGTCTTTCTCTTTTTTCCCCAAGTTTTTTGAGACAGTGTTTTGCTCTATAGCCAAGACTGGTCTTGAACACATTCTGTAGCAGAGGCTGGCCTCAAAGTTGCAATCCTCCTGCTTCAACCTTCAGAAAGCTGGGGATTGAAGCATATATCACCATGCCAGGCTCAATTTGCTCACTTTAGAATTTTTAAAAAATATATTGGACTTAGCAACCATTTGATTTAGAATATTTTTGTCTATATTCATGAGATGGTTTGTTGCTATTCATTTTCAGTTCATCATATTCTTAAAATATTACGATTCTATCAGCCCCATTAGATGATCTGAGCGTGTACTCCTTTTCTACACCACGGAATTACTGTTGGAAAAGTGGAGTTGTTTGTTACTTGGGTTTTAAAATAGCAAAACCATCTGGTCCCAGAGTTTCTGTGCAGGAAAACTTCTGTTTCTTCAATGGTTATAGAACTACTTAAAGTTTTCTGCTCCTTTTGGGGACACATTTCATAAATTATACATTGATAGTAATTTGTCTTTTTTTCAAACATTTTGGCATAAGGAACACTTTCAAACAATCATAAACTTATCAAATCAAAGTCAGGCACGCAATCCTAGTACCTGGAAGGCTGAGGCAGAAGGATGGACAGATCAAGACCAACCTGGGACTACAAAGCAACAGCTAGTCTCAAAAAAAATCACATCAAAAGAAACTCATAGATATCTGGACTGTGACCGCTGGTGATATGCCAACTTGACATACAAACTAGAGTCATCTGAAAGAAGGGGCATCAGCTGAGAAAAGTTCTCCATATGCTCCAGCTGTAAGGCATTTTATTAATTAGTGATTGATGGGAGAGGACCCAGCCCATTGTGGGTGGTTCCATCACTAGGCTGGTGGTCCGAGGTTCTATAAAAAAAGCAGGCTGAGCAAGCCATGGGGAGCAAGGCAGTAAGCAGCACTGTTCTGAGGCCTCTGCGTCAGCTCCTGTCTCCAGGCACCTGCCCTATCTGAGTTCCTGACTTCCCTCAGTGATGGACTATACTGTGGAACTGTAAGCTGAAATAAACCCTTTCCTCCGCAAGTTGTTTGTCGTCATGCTGCTTTGTTGCCAATAGAAACCATCACTAAGACACAGACATTGGTATTTGAGAAGTCAAAATACCTTCTTGAGGTCAGACATGGTAATTAATGCTGTAGACTCAACACCCAGGAGGCTAAAGCAGGGGGATCATTATTCAAGACCAAGTTGGGCTACAAAGAAGCTGTATAAAAAAAATAATGCTTGAAACCCAGGTGTGTTGAATTTCTCACTAGCTGTTTTTTGCTTTCATGCCACAAAGCTATTCCTTCTGACTGGTCCTCTTCTCCCCTTCACTCTTTGCCAGACTCTTCCTCACTTTGGGGAACTCAGGCCAGATATCAAATCCTCCAAGATTTCCAGCCCATAATACTTAACACTGTTAGTGCACTGAGCACACTGCTCAGGGACTTCTTATCTGTACCTCTCGCCACCACAGGACTGCGAGATCTTCACTTGGTGTCCACAGAGCAGAGATGCTCAGTCAGTCACTACTTGCGTAGCTAAGCTGAAACTGTAACCACAGTTGTCTGTATTTCTTTATATACATATCTGTTCCTTCAATGGTCATTTCCTAGGCAGACATACTTGATGGGCACTATTCTAGACTAGCTAGTGGATAGTGGGAAAACTAGGAGCGTGTGGCATCCTGGAAACTAAGTGAAGAAAAGGCTGGGAATAAAGATAACAACCGTCAGATGCTGCCGGGAATCTATGTAAGATGAGATCTGGGACGTAACTGTTGCTGGAACAGCAGCAGCAATTTTTAAATTGCTGGGGAAAAAGATACAGTTTGGGGCTATTTGAGGAAGGCATGGGGTGTTAGCAGAATAGAAAAGAATAGAGAAATATCTGGGGCGCAACTATTGCTATAACAACAGTGCCACTTTTTAAATTGCTGAGGAAAAAATACAGATTGGGGCTGTTTCGGAAAGACATAGGGGTATTGGCAGAATACAAAAGAATGGAGAAAGCTGTTAAAATAATTCTTTTAAAAAGTTTTGTTGTACCACTAGGCGTATATGCTGACACACATCTGTAACCTCACTGCTAGGAGGCTGCATCAGCAGAACAGTGAGCTCCCAGCCAGTCTGAGACCCTGCTAAATAAATAAATAAATAAATCACCAAAACAATTATCACTTTTAAAAGGTTTGCTGAAAAGGGAAGTAAATAAATATATTGTGTTTTATTTTGCTGTGCCAAGAGTTTTTATTTGCATGCAATAAATGTATCTAACCTTTCTATTAAAGCTTCTTAGTTTCCTGTTTGGAGCAGGAATGCAATGTCTGTGGACAGCAAATCTGATACAAATTTTTCACAGTACATTAATTCCTTTCTGGGGCCTTCCCCATTTAGGGGCTTGAGGGGTCTCTCTGCTGGTATCAAAAGCTTTTATTTTTCAGTAACCTCAAAACCTTGTGGCTAATCCATGTCTCCACATTTACAGATGACCACAGTCACCACTGCAGACATGTGACTAACACCAAAACTTCATGTGGTCAATACTCTTCTTCTTGGCTCCCACACAGACACAGGCTCCCACAGACAAGATATGCACGACCAAAGCACCACATATATTAGGACCACAAGGCAAAGAGATACAGATCCTCAAGAACACATTGAGGAGGCAGCAGTAGGCATGGCCATGGCCATCTCCACTCCCACCATGGACCATGCTAATTCCCCAGAATGTGACCACCCTACACACTCAGGCCCAAACAGGAGACCAGCACAGCAAGACACATCATTTCTCATAGAGCTCTATTGTGGCATATAATAATAATAGGTACTCTATATAAATTAAATTAAAAATAAAGCTCCAGCAGGTTGCACAGATTGGCTGTTAATAAATATATCTCTGGGTAATTGTGCCCCAAGACCAGCTCATGACCACTCTCCCTCATCCAGAGAATTATACAAAAATAAATACAGGCTCGGGGGTCGGGGGGGGGCATGCCTGGTTCATTCTAAAATTTCTCACACAATCCGCCATTCCTTCCACTGCACAAGCTCTACTGCGGGAAGCCTGGCGCTGACTACGGAGAGCTCAGAGCTGGGAAGGCCTCTCTCCAATCAAGCACTCTCAAAACCAAAGGACCCAAGTCCCTCACTACACAGGCTACATTTCACCTCCTTGGGGTGACAGAGGAACTGCAAATCTCCAGACCCCGAAGAGGAGGAAATCTGCTGTCACTGATCCTACAGGCAGTCCCTACGAGAACCAGGCCAGAGAGAGGCACAACACAAGCACCAGAAGGGACATACCACTGTTCAAAGCCACAGGAACCACAACTAGCCCAGCCAGGACACCCAGAGTTTGAGTCAAGGGCCCCCAAAGCTGAGGAGCCAAGCCACACATACATTCTGCAGGGGCAGCTGGCATGGGAGACCTCTCTGGGGACTCAGGGTTTAGGCTTCTACCCTCTTCATCCTGGGAGGTCACATGACGGTTGGCTACACTAGAAGGACAAACTTCAGTCCCTGGGGGACTAAGAAGAGCAGCGTGCTGCTCTGGCAGAGCTGGGGCAGCAGGCTCATTATCAGAAATACATAGCAAGCTGCCTGTCCACCCAGTAGGAACCTCCATCCGGGCTTCTGTCCCAGCTTCCCCTGGGGACCTGGCCACCCCAACTATGGGCCTATTCATATGCAAAGAGTTGACATCCTTGCCCACCCCTTTCTCTGGATTCTCAGTAAACTGTCCCTGTGTTCCCAGAATCACAGGGCTGTCACATCTGGAGCCCCCAGCCCATGGGAGCCACACATCTCCCACAGAGCGCGCCCCAGAGAGGATTTCTGGAGGTGATTCCTTAGGGCTGTCTCCGTCGGGGCTAGAGGGAGTGATGGAGAGCCCCTCTTCGCCCTCCCCCTCGTCATCAGGGTCCTCAGTGTCCTTGATGAGCTCCACGCCACACCCCAGGCGCGCATAGTGCAGCGTGATCTCCTCGGCCAGGGCACTGTTCAGGGCCCTCTCGGGGCCAGGCCACTTCAAGATCAGGTCACGGTCCGTGAGTATGCCCAGGGAATGGCTGGGGGACGTCCCTCCATCTGTAGAGCCCTCCCCGCCACCCCCTGCTGCCACAGCAGCCCGCAAGCGGCTCAGGTGAGACAGGTAGAGCTGCTCCAACTCCTGGTCAATGGTGTCTTCACCAAGCAGCTCCTCCAAGCCACTCACAATCTCCAGACCCCGAGCGGGCTCATCTGTCACAGCCCCCATCGTGGGGGCCTTTCGACCCCCTCCGCTTTCCCACGTGGCCTCCACCTGGTGCTGACTGGGTTCCAGGAAGGGCCCAGTGATTCTATCGCTTGCATCTGGCCCTGAGGCCTGGTCCCTGGGAGGGCCACCCAGGCCACGGGTAGATGGAGGAATCCTGATGGCTGGTGTCTGGAGGACCTCTGTAAAAGCCACAGGTGGGTTGCTTCTGGGGATGTCGCCTTCTTCTTGAGGGTTTCTGGTCACTGTAGCTTCAGAAACCTGTTTACAGTATTGCACAGGGAGAGAATGAGAATGGAAGTAGAAGAGGGGAGGGAACAAGAAGAGACAGTAAGAACTGGTAACACCCCACAACCAGTCCCTAGAGTTTTCCAGGCAAAAAGATGTCCAAGAACCCCCTGTGATTCTCTAGCTGCCAAAGACTTGATCGTGTTCGGGCAAGTACACAGAGACCTCTTCTTGCAGTGATAGTGTGAAGTGATTCACTGGGTATCCGTACTCAGTGAATGACTGTCAGGAGCAAATGAATTCATGATGGGTTTTCTCTTTTAAAAATATTTATTTATGAGTTGGTAGGATTGCTCAGTGGTTAAGAGCACTGCCTGCTCTTCCAAAGGTCCTGAGTTCAATTCCGAGCAACCACATGGTGGCTCACAGCCATCTGTAATGAGATCTGGCGCCCTCTTGAGGAAGAGACCTGGTCAGTCGTCCTCATCAACTTAGACCGTGAAACCCAATATGAACAAGTTCAACAGAACCACCATATACGGGCTGCCCACGCATGCTTCAGCATTGCCAAGGCAGACATTTCAAAATTTCAATTTTAGGATGGGTAACAGCATTTGCTGCCAAATATGATAACCTGAGTTTGATCCCCAGGGCCCCTGTGTTGGAAAGGAAAGAGCCAATCCCTACAAATTGTACACACACACATGAATGTAATAAAACATTAATATTTACTTCCTAATTGTCTTTTAAAACAATGCTCAGTCTAGTAGCAACAGTCCCGCTGAACCCCGTCTGAATCTCCAGACATGGTTCTCCACTGAAAGGAACCCAGGCTTCTTAGTAAGACTGCTTTCTCCAGGTTTGGAGCAGGCAAAAAGTACAAAACCGTGATATATAATCATAGCAAGATGTGAGAAGAGGTTCCCAGAATAACGGGAAGTGCTAATAAGTACAAAGAGACAGAAAAAAGACTACTCCTGGCCAGAAATACTTCCATGGAACCATGAAAATAAACAAATGCAGTGGATTCAGAGTCAACAAATAAGTTTTGAATCCATGAATGAATGAATGAATGTGTCATAAGTTTCTTCAGAGAAAAAGTCCAGCCAATAAAAGAAGTAGAATGATAGAATTCAATAGAACTTAATGGAATGAGCTCTGTTTAAGTCAATTTCATAATGCTAGACAACATTGAACAAATATATTTAGCAAAAATAATGGTTTAGTAAATGCAACTTAATAAAACACTAAAGTAAATAAGATTAATGAATTAATGAAAATAGAGTAAGACGGTTATGGTTAGCAAGATGTCTCAGTAGGTAAGGGCATGTGCCACCAAGCCTGAAAGTCACCATAGAAGGAGAGAACTAACTCCTACAAGTTGTCCTTTGACCGTGACACACACACTGTGGCATGCGCACACCTGTGCACATACACAAAAACACACACACACACAGTAAATAAATAGCCGGGCGGTGGTGGCGCACGCCTTTAATCCCAGCACTTGGGAGGCAGAGGCAGGAGGATCTCTGTGAGTTCGAGGCCAGCCTGGTCTACAGAGTGAGTTCCAGGACAGCCAGAGCTGTTACACAGAGAAACTCTGCCTCGCAAAACCAAAATAAATAAATGTAATTTTAAAAATTTTAAATGGAATGAGAAATGTAGTGGGTAAAAAGGAGGTTGGGGAAGGAAAGGGAATGGGAGGAGAAGAGGAAGTGGAAACTGTGGTTGGTACGTAAAATAAAGTTTAAAAATTTAATAAAAAAGAAAAGAAATGTGTTTCCACCTGAATGTAATCAGCCAAACCCAGACTGCATAGAACTCTACATGACAAACAGGGTTTAGTAATAAACAAATTGCAATGAAGAAACTTTGGGATATTAAAAAGTAAAGACACCTATTGAGAGGAAATATAATGTATCAGCTGGGCAGTTTAATCTCAGCACTCAGGAGGCAGAGGCTGGCGGATCTCCAAGTTCAAGGCCAACCTGGTCTACTGAATGAGTTCTAGGACAGCCAGGGCTACATAGAGAAACCCTGTCTCAAAAAAAAAAAAAAGAAAGAAAGAAAGAATAGGAAAAAATAAAGAAATAAGGAAGAAAGAAAAGAGAGAAAATAGAAAAGAAATTGAAGAAGAAATACAATTTATCACCTTGTTTGGGTCCTGGGAATACGCATAAGAAAATTGGATCACTAACCCAATCATTAATGATAAGAAGGAACACTGTTAATTTTCAGAGGTGTGATCATGGCACAATCATTGGGGTTTGTTTTGTTTTGTTTTACAGTTATTTTTCTGAGAAACAAACTACAGAATTCACAAATAGAATGGAATCTGAATTTTTTCCAAATCATTCTCTAGGAAATGGGAAGGGAAAGAGCTATGCTATAAAGTAGGAATGGGCACATGCCAGTATGTGTCGAAGCTGGGTGATGAGTGTTCATTATACTAGGCTCTTTACTTCTATATATACTTTTACTTTAAAAGTTTTATAAACAAAAGTTAAAACACGCACATTTTAAATGTCTCTTCCTCCCCTGCCAACAGCATCATGGTTCACCAGTTTCCTGTTCCCTGGTATCCCTGCTTCTCATCCTCCTCCAACAGGGTCTCACAGCAGACCGCATTCCTCTTCTGCTCATGACCCTCCCTTGTCTCCTCCTCACTGAGAGTGAAAATGCCTAAAGCCTCACCTTGCCTCCCGTGCCCCACCCAGTCTGTCCGCTGCCACCTCCCTGACCTCACTCCTCACCACTCCACTTTGAGCCCCACTTCATTCTACTTTCACAATAGTCTCCTTGCTTTGCTTTGCTTGTTTGTTTTTTCAAGACAGGATTTCTCTGTCCTGGAAGTTACTCTGTAGACCAGGCTGGCCTTGAACTCAGATTCACCAGCCTCTGCCTCCTGAGTGCTGGGATTAGAGGCTGTGCCACCTCTGGCTGGCTCACTCTTATTTCTAGCATACAAGAGTTGAAGCACACCTTAGGAACTTGGCACTTGCCTGGAAGGTTCTTCTCTCGGTTTGTCATGAGGCTCATTCTCTCACCTTTAAATTTCTCTCAAGCCTCATTTCTCAGGCCCCTCCCTCCTCCATTCCCCCTTCCATTCCCCCTCTTGCTCTCCCTCCCTCCATTTTCCCTAAGCAGTCATCTTCATCTCAAATACAATGTATGTAATTTATTATTTCATTATGTCTCTGCCCAATCATGTAATCCCCTTAAGGATGTCATTTGTGTTAAGTTTTCAGTGTCTATAATATGGAACAAGTATTCCCTAACTGTTTGCTAGTTAACAATTAAACCCAATGAATAATTCCAGCCTTCACTTACCCTCATCAAATTCTGGGATTTGTGATCTCACTCCCACCTCCAACTCCACCTCTAGGATAGACAAGAGCTTGTCAGCTCTACCACTGGATCCAGTTGTAGTCACACTGGGAGCTATCTATCAGGCTATTCATACCGAGGTTAAAAGGACCTGCTTACCTGAAGTGTCATCTGGGGCATGGACGGAGAGGGGTGGGGGCCACCAGGGGACCCAGTGACTCTTGAACATCAGGATGTTCTGCCAGAGAGAAGAGAAGGGCAAGGTTGAAGCAAGACAGATATACAAGCAGCCTCATCCTGTTCATCTAGGAAACCAACTGGAAGTTTGCACTGGAAGCTTTGTGTGGCAGTCCAAGGAAGGTGACCTTTTCTTTTTTATAGAAAGAAACAAGGAGGAAAGAAATAGTAAAAGGCCACTAGAAAGGTTAGGTGACATAGCTCCGTAGCAGAGCATTTGCCTAGCGCACACGAAACCTGGGTTCCACCCCCAGCACCATGAAAAATAGTTATGGTATGAAAATGGGCCAGAACTCCCAAAGCCTGGCAGATGCTTACCCCCAAGGGTATTGTCCTCCATGCTCTTCATCCTCAGCTCCTCCTCAAGAGGCCTGTAGGGCAGATGAGACAGCACATAAATCTGACACCCTGAGAGGACAGTTCTGCCACCTATGGGCACTTTCTGTGCCTCTGTGGTGACTCATCCTCACCTAACAGCTATTTTCTCTTCTGCTACTTTTTAATCCCTGACCATAAGAGTCCTATACACTCACTGTAGAAATTTTACAAAATACAGAAAAACATAAGGATGCCTGAAACAAAACAATCACGTGAGCCAGAGGCAAGCACTGTTACAATTTGGAAATTTTCATTCCAGACATTCCCTGAAACCATTTAGATTCTGCGAACATGCTTTCACAGCTGGCTTTGTCCATTAAACAGTGAGAAACATCATTATCGACTTTCGCAAACATTGAAAAATGGCAGCTTTATGCTCCTATCAAATGGCCTTACCATTATCTATGTAGCCATTCCCTTCCTACTGAGTAGCTAGCTTGTTTCCTTTATTTTATTGTTTCAAACCAAATATCAATGGGTAGTTGGGGATCGTTTCTTTAGGGTTTGCTCCTGGCTATCACAGAAGCTATTTTTAAGGGAAGGGCAGGCAGAAAAGACTAGGGGACACAGGAAGCAGCAGAGGCGAAGAAGGAAGGCAAAGGGAGAATGGGAATGGGAAGGGAGCCCGAAAGGCCTGTGTCCCCCTCTCCACCCCTCCTTGGTCCCCATACCAGTCTGGTAGGACCCATTGCCTCCTTGTATACAACATAGGGAACATAGGGAACTCCAGAGTAAGACTCAAAAGCCAGATATCTGGCCTGGCACAGAGCAGTAGCTAAATCAATGGGAGAAATCTATTGGTCTAACTGCTCCTCTGGCAGCCAAGTAAGATCCTTGAGAGGCCTAGGCCAAGTATGTCAGCCAGATCCTACCAGGAGCAGGACTTAATCATGGCGCAATCACTGTTCATATTCCTACATGGGAGTCTCAGATGTTCACAAATAAGACAAATGAAGGAAACAATGATTACAAGAGCAATGATGACAGGATTCAGAGACCTGAGGAGAACTGAAACGATCAACTCTTTCTTCCTAAGAGCTAATAGGGCGCTGCTGACACTTTTGAAAAAGGTTGCAACTGAGAAAATACCTAATCAAATGCCTCACTCACCAAAATTATCTCCACAGAAACAGAATGCCACTAGCAGGTCTGGGCACAGTACTCTGGTGTTAGCCAATGGGGTACATGTAACGCATGCACCGAATTAATAATCATGGTGACTGCAAGCCAACAACATATAAATTCTTTGAAGTGGGTAGTTCTGCTAGCCCCCCTTGTGGATAATGAAGCAGAGGCTAAACTCAAGATTCCACGGGCAGGATCAAAACCCAGAGTTAACCAAGCTCATGCTGTTTGGATAAGAGACTGTGATTGTACCCAACCCAGCCTCCAGCCCTATCTAGAAACAGAGGGAAGAAGCAATAATAACAGACAAGTAGATGCCCTCCCTCCCTCCCTCCCTCCCTCTCAAGGGGATTGTTTTCCAGCTGCCCATCACCCACAGTTCCATTACTTGTCCAGTTCCACGGCATGCATGGCTAGACTCCAGAGAGCAGTTACAGGAACCTGTTCTCAGCACACTGGAGGAAGGAGCTTTAACTAATACAAGGGCCTAGAGGCTAGAATCATTGGAAGGGGTACTTAGTCCTTCTCTGGAGTCTAGGACTCATGGATCCCAGCAGAGGTGCTTTTGTCTGAATAGTAGAGAGCCTTGGCAAGCGACTCTGGGAGCCCAGCCAGAAACTTCCACATAATACAGATGAGAAGATTCAGGAAAAACTACTTTAGTCCTGAGCCAGTCTATTCAGTGGGTCTAAAATCCAGGCCTTTGGGGCTACAGCTCCATGACTTCTGCCTGGCAGAAACACTTGCCTTCGTTTTTGCTCTTAGATCATCTTACTGAGGTCTTCTAAAGTAAAATCCTTCACAACCCGCCCCCCAACTGGACAAAAGGCAGCTCTTCCTCCCAGGCCAGCTCTACACAAGCATCCTGTAATCTGGCTTAATCCTGACATGCACAACGACCAAGCTTCGGTTAAGTATACATGTGCGTGAAAAGAGATACAAGCAGCAGCCACTAGCAGAAGAGACTTCTAGGCAGATCAAGAAAAATAAATTTAAAAAGAAGTTCTTCAGCCACCACACCTCTTCCACTGCTAAAGCCTTCCAAATACAGCCCAAACCAAGAGCCGCCGAGTCAGCAGAAGCAAGCAAGTTGTTTTCCCAGCCTCAAAGAGTTGGGAAGAAAAGAAGGAGTCAGGGGAGTCAGGGGCCATTGCGCCTCACCTCCTCCACTGTGGGCCTTTTTGTTACTACATCAAAGTCGATTGAAAAGCCTTCTTTCAAAACAGCAACTTCTCTTTCTCCCAAATGTAGAAACTAAGAATGAAGGAACTGTGTCTCTAGCCACTAACTACACTCCATACTGATAACATTCAGAAACGGCCCCACTTGAAGACACTGTCTCACAGTAGGCAGGGTATGCGTGCGTGCGTGCATGTGTGCGAGTGAGTGTGGTGTGTTTCAACGGTCTTTCACAGTAACCATTTTGGAGGCAGCTGTGAGTGCAATCAAAATGAGGAAAGGAAGGGAAGGTGTAAGTGCACCCTGACTCACAGAGCAGTAACAGTTCTTAGAAAAATGGGGAGGCCGATTAAGAACAAAACTGTACCTGCAATGTGCCTTTTAACTTTCAAGAATAAAACCTGCTCTTTTGGCACCAGTCCCACAAATGCCATGTGGCATCCTCTCAAGGGCCGCGAGTACACAGTGGGCCAGGACGCACGCTGCCGGGGATGTTTTGGCATGCCTTATCTGAGTGTCTATGAACATTAGTCAGGTCCATCTTCTCTAGAATGGACTACTCTATTGGGGGTGAAAATCCTTCCTGCCACTAAGAAACTCAATGGCTGCTTGACTTCAGAAAGTGGTAGCAATGGCCCCAGGCCAGGCCAGCCAAGGCAGAATAGAAAGATTGCCAGGGAGAATGAATGAATGAGCAAATGAGGGCTCACAAGTCCCAAAGAGAAGTGCAAAGTAGCCTCGGTCCTATGACTGCCACCACTGTCCTCTGGGTCCTGTGTGAGCACACCCAGCCCTCCAAGTTTCAAAGTGGGTCATGTGCTGAACCCCAAAGGGAAACACCACAGAGCCTGGCTCCCATGGAGACAACCTGATGATGCTGTCTGGGGTGTGGGGAAATGGCTTCACAAAGTTGCTCCGAGATACCTGGAATTCTAGTTACCCTAAGCCATGTGCTTTGGGGTGGGGCAGGGGGTGGGGTGAGGAGGCTGTGAAAGCCACCAAGTTATGTAGAACACTGTCTTGCCTTCAACAAGTATCAGCCCCAACTCTAGGTCTCGTGCACTGTGGAGCAACTTACCATACCTCGGGCTTCTTTTATCTCACTGACACTTTTATGCTCACAGCCCAGGGTGAGAAAACCATTTTTCCTCCTAACCCACCACATCCACACGAGTAAATACAGACACAGACACACTGAGAACTGAAACAGTTGTCCTCCGAAACGATACTTACCTCTACTGCACGGCATTATGTACTGTGCTAGTTCCTACACCACTTCCAATGTTTGTTGGAAGCTAGCAAACTGATTTTGCATCTCAATAAATGGCCAGAAAATGCAATGTTGAATAATCCCAGCTCTACTACAAGCCAGCTGTGTGACCTGGGGCACAGTATCTAACTGCCTGAACCTCAGTCTTCTCATCTAAAAGAGATGATGGCAGTATTTTACCAAGCTGTTGAATAGACTGGGGGAGCATGAAAAGCACCGATAAAGTGCTTACAACTAATTCCTTCTGAATTCCCAAAGAAACTGAAACTCGTAAGAGAAAAGCAACTTGTCCAGCTCTGCCCAGCTCGAGGACCTCTCTGCTAGCCTAGCTCTGCAGTTCCAAACTTAGGGCTACTACACAGTCCCAGACCCCTGCTCTGCCACTCCTGTGTGCAGCCTCCAGCCCACAGCCTTAACCACGATGCCCTAGCAGTTTTCTGTGGAACAAAGGGACATCACTTTCGCATGAAATCCTCTCTCCAGACAACTCAGATGAGCCCTAGCCCACCCTGTTTCAATTCATGTCCCTCAGGCTGTCGGCTCAGCTATGACTCAGCTATCCATTCAGTCACAGGGACACTTAAAAACCTCTGAGGCGTTGCTGTGCGTCACAGCTAGTGACAGGAGACACACTGGTGAGCAAACCCAACTATGAAATTTAGAATTTGATGTGGAGACATTTGAAAAAATACTCAAACTCATTATTTCAACAAATATTTATTGAGCACCTACTAAGTGCCATGCATCATGGCAGGCCTGTGAGAATACAGTGGTCACCAATGCAGAGCATGTCCCTACCCCTCACGGAGCTTACAGTCTAGCAGTGCAGTCACACAGTAACCCCTACTAAAGGTCTCGCTCCAGACTGAAGTCAGAGCCCCTAGAAAAGGAAGGAGCATGCTAGAACACTAGGCCCTGGCACACACTAGAATCAGCAAGGGTTTAAGGATGCTTAGAAAACAAATGAGGGGCATGTGTGGTCAGGAAATAAGAGGTTGTTTGGGAGCAGTATGTGGGAGACAGTTGAGCATGAGAAAGCTAAGGATTCAGTCAAGTGAAGACATCAAGTTGGTAAGTGAAGCTAAAAGAACGAGGAGAAAGAGAAGGGCCAGAGATTTCCGGGGAAAACTATCAGAGTGTGGTGGTCCTGAGGCCAGGGACAGAGGAAACCGAAGTAGGACTAGTCAGCCATTTCAAGAATGAATGAAAGCCACAAAGCCATCTCAGTTTGACCAAATCCAGGGACTACTAAACATGTGAGGTGAGCAAGCAGAGGAAGCAAGCGCTGGTGACTTTTGGGTAAAGGGACAAGGGTGACCATCAGGTACTGACCAGAAGCAGAGGGCAAGGTAGTTGGCTAAGACAGAGGCTCTGGCCTGAGGATAAGTCAGCAGAAAAGACCGGGTGAGAGGAACAGGGAAAGAGTTAACAGGACAGAAATGAGGCTTACGATCTCAGATTCTGGAGCAAACGGCAAAAACTGAAGCTCTGGGGCAAAGAACATGTGAGGTGAGCAAGCAGAGGAAGCAAGCGCTGGTGACTTTTGGGTAAAGGGACAAGGGTGACCATCAGGTACTGACCAGAAGCAGAGGGCAAGGTAGTTGGCTAAGACAGAGGCTCTGGCCTGAGGATAAGTCAGCAGAGAACAGCCTAAAACGGGGACAATGTGAGGGGTATTGGTGTTCAGAGGTGAGGGCTCTGAGTGATAGGGAGTTCCATTCTGATGGTATATCTATTATGTTTGGGCAAGCAAAAGGCAGAGTCTGAAGGTAAAGAATAAGTGAGAGGATGTCATGAAAGAGGAGCTGAGGGTGGGTCAGAGAACGGACAAGATTACCAGGCAGGGTGGAAGGCACTCCTGAACTAGGGGTAAGGCTCCCATTAGGCTCTGGGGCATTCTCTAACTTGACCTGCCCGTGTTGATCAGTGATACAAATAAAACTAGGAACTTAGAGAGGCTAGGAGTGGACAGGCTGCCCTGAGGAACCCCTCTTAGAACTGAGGGGTCTACACGAGGAGAATTTGACGGGTACAGGACACACATTCTCAGGGAAGCAAACAGTATGAGCAAAGACCCGGAGCAAGAGGAGTGACAGAAGGGACGTGGTGACAAGAGCTCAGGAAAACAGGATAATGCAAGACTACATGACAGCAGAAGGCAAGCTGGAGAACGGAGAGGAGGGTAAGGGCCCGTCAGACTTTGGTTGATCTTTATTTTGAAGAGGAATAGGACATCTCCTCAGAGTATAAAGCCAAGACAGACCAGAAGGCCTCCATCCGTTACCAGTCCTAGCACCGAGGACTCCAATGCTATTTACTCATGCAGTTAAGAGGGATTAAAGCAGTCTAGCCCACAGAAAGCAGTCAAGAATGAGACTATACAAAAATATTCAGCAAAGTACCTAGCAAAGAAAAGGAGCGCAGCCATGTGTCACTTGGTAAGGCTTAACCCTGCCTCACCACCTGGCTATAGTACAAGCCCTTGGGTATCTTAGATCCAGTCTGGGTCTTCTTTGCTTCTTCCTAGCCCTGTGCTCAGCACATAACAGGCCCTACAAAAAAATGCTTGCTGTTGGATTATCTCTAAACCTAATGGGTACTGAAAACCTGGTCCTGCAACCCAGGGAAAGCATGCCTGAGCCTCTTGACTATATCCTCATGGCTGCCAAACATCTCCACTGACCCCACCTGTCATGGCCCAGCTACACAGTGGGCCTGCAGCCAACATTTCTGAAGCCCTCTACAGCAGGCCTCCCACAGATAAGAAAAGAATAAAGACAGAGGTGATGGAAACCAAGGGGAGGGGAGGAGAAGGGAACAAGGAAGAGGCAAGGGCAATGGAGGGGAAGACAATGAGAGTGAGAGGGAAGGAGGGAGAGGAGAGGGTACAAAGGGACGGGTGAAAAAAGAAAATGATTCTCACAGCAATTTGAAAATCGTATGCATGCATTATCAGCATCTCTACGTTATGGGAATGGAATATAACATAAAAATAAGTTCTTGCAAACTAAAATCTAACCTCTGAGACACAGTCAATTAGAAGAATAAGAAAATAAAGTACAATAAGTCATCTCTCTCACTTCCTTCCAACAAAGGCAGGTGATGGAGAGACAAATATCTACTGTGAGTGTGTGTATAAATGTGTGTGTGTATAAAATGATGCATTATCAATTCTATACAAGTATAAATTAAACACACTTCATCATCTAATGAGGAAAACAGGAATAATTATCAAGGAAGCTTTTCGCAAGGTGAAGAAATACAGTGTTCATGCTCCAAGAATTTACTGTACCCTGAGCATAATTACAAAAAGGATGTAAATTAAGCCCAGACTTCTACTATTATCACTTTGTTCTTTGAAGTATCAGAAACACAAGGATAAAAAGAAAAGCCCCAAATATTCCGGGGTCAGTAAGCCCCACAAATAGACACAGACACTGTATCATATTAGCAATACGAGACTCTAGGAGATAATGGAATAAAGTCTCACAATTTTGAGAAAAATACTTTTTTATTTAAAATTCTGCATAAGCTAACTACCAACCAAATAAAAGATAGTTTCAGATATGCAAGAACTCAGATAATGAACCTCTTATTTCATGAAGAAGACAGTTTAGTTAGAATAAAAAGCAAGGGAGAAACAGGAAATATGAAAGAAAATGGTGGCACTGACCCAGAAATCCAGTGGAAAGCCCAAGGTTGCAGCTGTACAGCAGACCTAAAAGGCAACGAGTCTACATTAGAACAGGAAATCAAGAAGCTCCCAGAAAGACTCCTCAAGAAAGTGTCCACACATTCTGAGAAACGGACACAGTGAGGAGCAAACAGGAAGACATTAGAAAGCCACAAAGATGGTCACCATGGGAAGACAAGCAGGAAAACCTCTAGAAACAGACATGTAACAAAAACACAGACCCATCAAATCTGGCAATGATCCCAAAGAGCTGATTAAGAAAAGGCAAATCCACCTGAAGCAGATGCTGAGCCCATTCTCCTTGGATGAGAAGGGGCTACACTGGCCTTTAGAAACAGAGACAGAACGTTAATACCCTATTTCCTCTCCTAAGCTATCTTCTACCCTCTTGTCTGATCCACTCATTCTTTAAATCTCCAATGTCTGAAGTATTTGCTGAGCAACCTATTTGCTAAGCACTGTTCAGAATCTAGAAATGAAACAATGACCAAAATAAGCCGCAAGTGTGCCCCGTGGAATAAATTCAATGACTATTATTCTCGAGAGTCTGCTAAGCAACTGTTTTTCTCTGAACTGTTTCGGGCTGAACATTTCTTCCTTTCTGCTCTTTAAGAACACTTAACTCTTTCGAGAGCTGCTTTTATAATTTTACATTACCATCTAGGATGTAAAGAATATAAAATATTTATTAGTATTATTTACACCTACAGTAGGCCTCTATCAAAAAATGTGTTCCAAATCATTTCATTCAAATGACATATAAAGTTGTCAAACTTGTAAAGTACTATAAAACATTATTAGGAACTATACAGATGAGGAAGCCGAAGTCCTTTTCAGTTAAGATATCTGCCCCAGATCATCAGTCTAGTTCATAGAAAAATTAAAACTTAAATTCATCATGTTAAAGGTCTAGGTTCATTGTGTGTGAGTATACGTGTGTGCATGTATATATGTATTTGTGTATAATATATGCATCTATTATATACATGTATGTTATATATGACCTATACATATTATATTATATACATACACACATACATATAAAATAAACCCAGATCTTCAACATGATTCATCAACTCAATACATATTAGGTTGGATGGAAGCAAGTATCCAAAACAAAAATGAGCCTAAAGCTAAGAGAATAACCTTGGGCAACTTCTTAAAATGTTTCCAAGTATAGGATAAACCTCTAAAATATAGACTTTCTTCCACACATCATTGCACAGCTTCATTAATTACATATGGATCATTTTGAAAACCTCTAATCCAAACTGTAGTTCATCTTTTAAGAGCTTTAATTTCACAGCAATATAAAATGTTAAGATACATAAATGTTTAGAGATGTTAGGTGGCTCTTAATATAACTGGTCATTTTTAAATTCCTTCAAAAGAGACTTTCTAACATTAATCCCATAAATATGCTACATTACTCTTTTTAAATGAAAACTTAATAATGTTTACATTAACTTTCACTTACAACGACAGAACATAGTTGTTTATGAGCTGAAGGAGGTTGAGATTAAATCTATCAAGGTGGACATTTTTTAAAATAGGCAAAAAGTTAAACTCAAAAACACTACATAACTTTCATAAGTCAGAGAAAAACACCCTGGTGTTTCACATATACCAAAGTTATGAGCACGCCATTTTGGGGGCAGACCTTCTTTGATATATAGCCATAGCTATCCAATAATTGGCATTATTATACCAAAATATAATACCCATGCAAATTACAATTTATCATTATAACACCAAATAGATGGGTAATTATTTTATATTCACAGGAGGAACAGCCAATTGATCTTGTCAATCTAACAAACATTTATTAAAGCCTTGCTGACGTGAGTGCCTCTTCTAGGGACTGAATATTTCCTAGAAGAAAGTATTAACTCCTGGGGAAGGGAGCCATAACTACTCTTCCCCCACACATGAAAACATACTAATTAAATGTCATTTCCAAGTATATGACAAAACAGCTGAGCTAACTGAAGGGTCACCCAACTTAAAAGATAGTATGAAAATACTGAGGAAGCACGTGTAATACCAAAATTCTGTGATATGTTTATTGATCCAACCTCAAAATTCTGGAATTTATGCCATATGTACAGACACACCCCCAATAGTTACAAACTAAAGGATTCAAAGAACACTGACCAGTGACTAATGCTACAAGAATCAGAGAAAATGCACTGCCCACTGGGATACAGAAGTGTCCCTTTCATCCAAGTTCTAGTTATCACTACCATCTGATGACTCTAGTCTGCCTTGTGCAGGTGTCAACATTTAGACTGATAATTCACACCCTTCACAACCCACCCCAGTTGTAAGCACAGGGTTGTAAGACCAAGATTAAGTCTATATTTTGATCTTCTCTTGTATATTCCCCAAAGAAAGAGGGCAAGTCAAGTTTTGAAGATTTTTGTTAATATCTGTGCTCAAATCAGATAACTCAAAAGTTTTTAAAAAAAGATATTTGAAGCAAACTGCCAAACATGTTCTACAAATTGCTCAATATAGCCAAGAAGAACAACCAAGGCAAAGAGTGGCACAAAGAAATGTGAGTAAGATACCCTCAGCTTGCCTGCTGAGCAAAACAGGTACAAGACCAATAAGAACTATAACAGCAGCCATCACTCACTGTCTCCTTCAAGAACAGCTATGCTAACACACGGTTCTCAAGCTGTAGGGTGCAACCCCTTTGGGGGTCATATCAGATATGCTGCATATCAGGTATTTGTTTACATTACAATTTATAGCAGCAGCAAAATGACAGTTATGAAGTAGCAACAACGGCAATAACTTTATGGTTGGAGGTCACCACAACATGAAGAACTGAATTAAAGGGGCACAGCATTAGGAAGGCTGAGAACTACTCTGCTAGAAGATTTAATCCAATTAATCAATGGATTACTAAATAGATACAAACTGCT